ATATTTGGGCTTTTCCTAGCCTGACTTTAGCGCATTCTTCTTTTTGCTATAATGAACCAGATTTGCATCTTCGCTATAAAGGATGGTGTGATATCGTGCGAAAACTAATGCAAGGGGACTGGTTGCCGTGAGGACGAAGTGAAATTAAGATCTTCGCACCAGATAAGGCCCTAACCTCTGATCACTGCTCCCCAAAAAAACAGGAATACAGCTGATAAAAGGGGAGAAGTCACGATTTATGTGGGGAAGGGGGGGGGGGGCCTTGTGTTCAGTGTCAGATATGTTCGCAGAACTTCTTCTCCAACAGGAAAGGAAGTGATTTTTACCCCATGAAACAAGTTCCAATAGTCAAAAGCCGTTCCATAACTGCTCTCTTGCTTGAAAAAAGAATTCCACAAAAATGTAAAAAAGAAATTATTCAAATTCCCAGAGCAGTTCGTTTGGCTTTCAGAACACAGCCCTCGATGACAACAAGGTAAATATCATAGGAAGTGCACCCATAATGTCCGAAATTGAAATCCCTGTTCCTTGAAAATCGAACAAAAAGTGTTTTATTCGAACTTAAATTGAAAATTTTAACCGGAGCAAAGTGGATGTTACGAAATGCAACTAGCGCAGCTGTGTTATGTCCTCCAAATTTGCAAGCTGTTTTTTAATAAAGCTTATAACCAGGAATGCCAAGACCGTCTGGACAATCGATATGGGTATCGCATGTTAGCAATGTTACCGGGATGCTCTCACATGCCGGGTGCAGCTGTGCCAGTCATTTGTGGCATGTTTAAAAATAGCATATGTACGTTAGTAAAAAATACACAGCTGACAGGAAAGGAAAAGCACACTTTAAAGCCACATTAAGTCAAATTTTTGGAAAAAAAAAATCAGTGGAGTGAACTGCTGTTTAAAGATTCTAATAACTGAGTAAGGATGCTTAAGATTCTACTAATAAATGATGAGAAATAAGCGGTAATAATGAAATTTTGAATTGGAAAATTATTATTATTATTAATGAATTTTATGGAAAATCTCGTATCTTATACAGCAAAACTCTTACACATATTTTAGCGTCAGTTACTCAAATCCCCGGTCCTCCGCAAAAGAGAGCAGCAAATTGCCTTTGGACCAGTGACCAGAAGGAAAATCCTACCCCCTCGGTTTGTTGCAGGAAAACTGCTCAGTTCCTCTGCAGTTTCTTCCGATGACTAATTAAGTGGGGCTGCTTAAGAATTCTAGCAATTTGAAAAGCATTTAACTCCCTTCCTTTCAATCGTTTCACGAAAGAGCGAACTGTCGACAACTTGCCGATCCTGCTTGTTGTTACTGATGGAAGTGTTATTATCGCGCTACTGACCAGTTTCGCTGCCTTTTTTATTAAAGAGCAAGCTGTTGAGGAAATTTTACGATAATATCAATAAAAATTGAAAAAAGCGTTGGAAGAATCACCGAAACTTGATCAAAAAAGAAAGAGAAATACTTGAAGAGCAATGAAGCGTACCTTCTGGCTAATGTTGAATTTTGTTGAATCACTTTTTCCCCCTTTCTTATTTTTTGATTTTTTCATCTTCTCCGGTAACTCGTCCGAATCTTTAGTCACTGCCTCACTGCTCGCATCAAAAGATGATGCAAGAGTAAGCGAAGCTTCCGAAGTACTA